GATCGGGGTTCGATTCCTGGTCAGGGCACATGCCCCGGTCGAGGGCTCGATCCCCAGTCGGGGGTGTGCAGGAGGCAGCCGGTCAATGACTCTCATCATTGATGTCTCTCTCTCTCTCTCTCTCTCTCTCCCTCTCTCTCTCTCACATCCCTCCCTCCTTCCCTCCCTCCCTCCTTCTTTTTCTTTTTATTTATTTATTAAATATATCTTTATTGATTTCAGAGAGAGGAAAGAAGAGGGAGAGAGATAGAAACATCAATGATGAGAGAGTCATTGATTGAGCCCACAACCTAGGCATGTGCCCTGACCAGGAATCGAACCCCGATCGCCTGGATCCTAGGTTGACGCTCAACCACTGAGCCATGCCTGGCCAGGCTCTTCTTTCTTTTTCTAAAAAAATATTTATTGAATTCAGAGAGAGGAAAAGAGAGGGAGAGAGAAACATCAATGATGAGAGAGAGCCATTGATCGCCTGCCTCCTGCACATTCCCCATTGGGGGTCTAGCCCACAACCCCAGGCATGTGTCCTGACTGGGAATTGAACTGCAATCACCTGGATCATAGGTTGATGCTCAACTGCTGAGCCATGCCTGCCAGGCTGGCTGTTGGCCTCTTTTCAACATGGCTTATTGCTTCATCAAAGTCAGCAAGGGGGACATAACAAGATAGAGGTCACAATCTTATGAGCCTAATCATGGAAGTGTCACTCTATCAACTTGGCTTTACCTATCTGTTAGAAGCAAGTTACCAGGCTCACACTCATGGGGAGAGGATTACATAATGGCACGGGTAAAAATGGAAATAGCTTGAGACTTCTAACAATTTACTAGGTATATTCTTTGTCATTAGCTATTCAACTGATAAGTAAAGTTGGGTTTCCAGTAGTTAAAGATCTGTGTATGAGCAAGCCAGGACATCTTTTCCTAAAGGTAACCTTTCTCTTTTGTTGTTGTTTGTTTGTTGATTTATTTTTAAAAAAATTATTTTATTTTTTCCATCACCATTTATCCCCTCTATCCCCTCTTTTACCTCCACCCACTGCCCTCTCCCCCGAAATCACCACACTGTTGTCTATATTCATGAGTTCTCTCTCTCCCTTTTTTTCTTTTTTGCTCAATCCCTCTACCTCCCCACCCCCAGAGCTGTCTGTCTGCTCTCTATCTATGAGTATGTCTCTATTTTGCTTGGTAATTCAGTTTGTTCATTAAATTCCACATCTGAGTGAAATCATATGCTTGTTTTTCTCTGACTAGCTTATTTCACTTAGCGTAATGTTCTCCAAGTCCATCCATACTGTCGCAAAGGGTAGAATTTTATTCATTTTTATGGCAGAGTAATATTCCATTGTATAAATGTACCACATCCTTTTTATCCACTCATCTACTGATGGACACTTGGACTGCTTCCAAATCTTGGCTGTTGTAAACAATGCTGCAGTGAATATATGGGTGCATATATTCTTTCAAATTAGTGTTTTGGGTGTCTTTGGATAAATTCCCAGAAGAGGAATCACTGGGTCATAAGGCAGACCCATTTTTAATTTTTTGCGGTAACTCCACACTGCTTTCCACAGCGGCTGCACCAGTGTGCATTCCCACCAGCAGTGCACAAGGGTTCCCTTTTCCCCACATCCTCACCAGCACTTGTTGCTTGTTGATTAAAAAAAAAATGAGATGATGGGATAAAAAATACAATGTTTTTTGTTTTTCGTTGTCTTGTTTTTCCTCTCTATGATTTTACTTGTCATCAGCTTAGTAAACACTAAATTGGGTCATGGCAATAGCACTGGGCTGGATCTGAGTGTTTGGGAAAACACATAAGACCTTTATCGTCTCTTGCCAGTCAGCTCTGTTGCGTGAAGTACTAGGATCCCAGGAACTTCAGTTCTCACCCTCCTCCTTGCCATTATTGTTTCTTCATCATCTACATTCTTGCTTGAATTTGGAGCTTATGCTTTACTAAGTGCTTTCACATACGTAAGCTTAAATAAAGAGTCCCCCGATTTTAGTTATCCAGGTTACAGGAAAAGAGGTAGCTGCGAACCCAGAAATGATAGGCAATAAACTCTGAATTTAATAGTTCAATCTGCACTTGCACATGTTGTTTCTGCTTTCACTTATTCACTGAAAAATGCATAGCATATTTCAAGGATTCTGATAAGTACTGTGAATTTATTGATAAATAAGACATTCTCTTGACCTTCAAGACTCTCCCAGGGCAATAGGAGGGACAGCCTGTAGATAACATGGGCTGGCAGGTGAGGTGGCAGCCTGAGGCTCAGCGACAGCACAGAGCAGAGAACAATCGACACTGTTCCCTCCACTGTCTTGGCCAAGGGTGAAAGAAATACTTTTTTTCTCTCTCTGAATTTTTGCCTGGCTAAAAGCTTTACAATTTCTTCCTCTTTTCTCAGGTTTTGTTTTCTGGTTCATGTGGTGTGCTTCACACCTAGATGTTTGGCAGAAGTGGTTATTGGCATAATGAGTGACCTAGTTTTCAAGCAAACCCCTTGCCCTGACACACAGGAAGCAAGTTGTATCCTTCCAGGCCCACGTAATAATAATAATACAATACGGCATTCCTCAGGCTTCTCTGAAAAGCAGATACCAAGAAGGAATTAGACATCCAGGGGATCTATCGGGAGGAAATGCTGGAGAACAATAATGGGAAGAGGATGCCCGAGCAGACAAGGAGAGGGTTCAGAGCGAGGTGCAGAGCTGACACCTTCGAAATGAGAGAGGGAAGGAAGGAGAATTTGGTAAGATGGTCATCAAACCAAACAGCATTCCTGAGATCCTCTCAGCCAGGTCAATGGGGAGCCTTAGAGCAAAGACTACCTGTCACAAGTGTTCCATGACAGGGAGGAGTAGGCTGGCTCTGTGTCCTTGTAGTGCTTGGTTGTTAGAGGAGCGACTGACTTGCTGGGGGCTGGCCTCTGGGTGAGAAGGCTATGGGGGTGCAGCAGCAGCTGGGGTAGTCTGCCAACTACCTTCCTCCCAGCAGGTTCTTTGGAGGGAAGGTTTGAGTAGTGTACCTCCATGGTCACCACAGACACCTTAGTCATTCACTGAGTATGACATTTATGTCATATTATATTAATTTACCAACAAAATAATTATTCAGTTATATTTTTTATAGAGCTTTGCAATTATGACCCGAGTTTCCCTAGAATATACTAGAATGTCTGTGTAAAGTGTGGGGCCACATTATAGAACTCAACCTTGTTTTTATGGTGCTATCTCTACCTCTATTCAGTAAGGGCTGTAAGTATAAATTGAATAAAAAATAGGTAGGAAATAGAAATTATTTGTTTTGAGACTTTATAGCCTTGCTAGTAAATTATTTGACAAATAAAGCTGGACCATAAACCTCCCTGAAAATCATTTCTGGTAGTTCCTGGAGTTGTTTTAGGTGACAGCCACTGGTTTCTTATCTCTCACTCCAACATCCACATTAATATCCTTGGCCTGCTGAGCCAAGCAAGTGGTACCTCACTTTGACCATTTGTCATGTGCCTCACATGACCACACTCAAGATGTAGACCACTGAGATGTCAAAACAAGAAACTTCCTTTCTTGGAGTCATTGGAGACCAGGAACATGCTGTGTCCCATGCAGCAAAGGAAGAATGTTCCTTGTCCTGCCTTGTCCCTGGACACCCAGCAGTACTGCTGTGTGCCTGTGTCTCAGGGATTTCTCATGAAAATAGCTCTTCAGCTTCTGCCCACATCCATGCTTTTGGAGAGGTTCAGGCTAAAGTCCATGGATTGTACCGTGGGACCATTGTTTGAAGCACACCCTGTTATGTTCTTTATACTACTTTACCCTGTAAGTAGAGAAGTGGAGACAAATTAGGAAGTTGGGTGGTGCCTTAGGCTCACATAAAGGAGGGCCTGCATTAAGACCATGGTAATGGTATGAAATGGAGGCTAGAAAGATTTATCGGGATTGGGAATTCTAGTGCTGATCTGCTGATGAAGATCAGGGAATACATTTAGGATCTGTAGGGTGAGGTGATGGGGAACATTTGAATAGAGATATTGAATGCATATATGAGAGTGCTCAGGAGAAAGGTTGAGACTAAAGATGACTATTTGGGAATTAGCATCCTATGTGGTACTTAAGGCCAGGGAGAGTGTGCAGAGTAAATATTGAGGAAAACTGAGGATAGAACCATAAGGAAGAGGAGTCAATGAACGAGACTGAGAAGGCGCCAGAGAGGTCAAAGGACATCTAGAGAAGAGTGGGAGCACCAACACCAAACAAAGGAGAGCTTTGAGGAAGGAGCTGACGGTTCTGTTACCCATAGCCAAGTTCAAGTTAAAGATGGAAAACGTTTCCTTTGGTTATGGCTACAATCAATGAGTCATGGTGACCTTATTAGGAAAATATTTTCAATGAGGTGATGGTTACAATAAACTATTGTCATTATAAAATAGACTGTACATCTTTTCCATTTGGGCCAACTGAATAACTTACAAGAATTGAGCCAAACATATTGTTTACTGGCTCTTTCCATGTTAACTGGTAATAGGGAGACCATGAGGAAATAATAAGTAGCTCATACACCTAAGTTTTAATCAAAAGGTTTAATTTTTTTCTCTGAGAAATCTTTTGTCAAAACTACTAAAAAATAGGCATGAGTTGATTATTGCCACTTCCTTTCCTTTCTTTGCACTTCCTAGCAGGACTGGAGCTGGGACAGAAAATTTTATGTCTTTATTTGAGTTTTCTCAAAAAAGCCCCACGGGTTTCTCTGCTTTTAGGCATAGCACATAATTCCTACTGTGGAATATTCTACTTGGTTACAATGCACTAGTTACCCTCTCAAAACTCCAGTTTTCTCATCTACAGAACAAGGATCGCAATACCCACATTATAGGTAGTTGTGATGATTAAATGAAATAATGTTGGAAAAACACAGGGCATATTTTAAGTATATAATAAATGTTAATTATTTATAAAATAATCTCTTATTTAAGGGACTAATGGGATTTTTTTTCTCTTTAAGGAAGAGATATAAAAAAATTATATTTCAATCTATATTTATCCTATAACTCCTTAAATTTTCCGGTGCGCCAAGAAGTTGTTTGCCGAGGATCTGATGATGAGTTTTCTTTTTGTAGAGCTCTAAAGGGAGGTAAGTATTTAATTTATATTACTCTCAGAATCGAATAGAATACTTCATGAGAATGTTATGAAAATTAAATACACTGAAAATGTGAAGTTCCTTTTCTGATGATAACTTTTTATTTCCATTCAAAGTTGTTTTTGTTTTTTTAATCCTCACCAGAGGATATTTTTTCCATTCCTTTTTCAGAGAGAGTGGGAGGGAGAGAGAGAGAAACATCGATGTGAGAGAGACACATTGATTGGTTGCCTCCCACATGCACCCCGACCAGGGCTGAGGATGGAGCCTGCAACAGACCTACATGCCCTTGGTTGCAATTGAACCCGGGGCCCTTCAGTCCGAAGGCCAACATTTAACCACTGAGCCAAACTGGCTAAGGCTCAAAGTTTTTACTTTTAGCAGTTTAAACAACATTTTACAATTATGTTACTGAGTTATTATTAAGATGACACATGACTGTGTTTGAGGGATATTAAATTTTTTACCTTGTTCAGATTAATATTACACATTTACACTTGGTTATAGTTCTCTGTTTCTAAACATTACATTTGTTATTTTTCGTAGACACTCACCAGATTTTACTACGCAGCTACATTGGTTTCTTCAGTGTCTTCCCCTCTCTTTTCCATCCTGGAATTTTTCACAGAATCATAAAATTTCAGAGTTTAAGATCTTAAAGTCACTTATTACAAACTCATGAATTTTTCTTAATAATATTTAAACAAGTATTTTAGATAGTATAAAATATTATAAATGTCATGCTGTCACATTACCAAAAATTGGGAAGTATACACAAGAAAGAAGTCACAGAATCATATTTCTAAAGTCATTTTGGAGTATTTCCTCTGCATATTTCATCTATGCATATTGTTTATGTAGTTGTAAGTATACTTTACTACAATTTAAAAAATTTATTTAAATTTTTTGACTAGAGAACCGCATGCCCGTGGTTCAAAAATCATAGTATAAACATTTCCCAGTGAAAGACCTCCCTTAGTGGATGATGCCCTGGTTCACTTAACCATTCTCCTATTGGACATTTAGTGTCCTGGTATTTGTACTGTTATAAATAATGTTGTAATTAATATGTTTCTGTATATAAATTTTCTCATATTTTAGATTTGAATATTCCCATGTTCAGAAGAAGGAGTTATGGATAACTCCCAGGGAGATTTCTAAGCTTAATGGCTTTAGTATATTCATGCTTTTATTCACATAAGACCAAACTGCTTTTCTAAAGGATTGTACCAATTTATACCTGTACCACCAGCAAGGTATAAGTATAGTGGATTAATCTCTGTCTTGTTAACATTGGGCATTATCATTTAAAAAAAAATAAGTTTAGCCTGGCTGGGCGTGGCTCAGTGGTTGAGTGTCGACCTGGGATCCAGGCGATCCGGGTTTGATTACCGGTCAGGGCACATGCCCGGGTTGTGGGCTGCAGCCGATCAATGACTCTCTCATCACTGATGTTTCTATCTCTCTATCCCTCTCCTTTCCTCTCTCTGAAGTCAATAAAGATATATTAAAAAAAAATAATAATAAAAAAATAAAAAATAAATTAAAAAAAGTTTAAAAAAACTTTATTAGGAAAAAATGTATACTTTAATTATTTTATTGACATTTTTATTATTATTGAAGTTAAATTCTAGGATGTGTCAGACTGAACCCAGCCTGCCTGCTTCTTTCCTTCCTCCTTCCTTCCCTTCCACAAACATCTGTTGAACCTAGTCTGAGCATGTCACGACTTAGGCTTTTATGATCCAAAGTTGCGTGACAGGGTCTCCCTCCTCAGAAGTCCTCTGTTCTGGGAAGGACAGTCATGGTCATGGGACAAAAATGACAATAAAATATCATAAAAGCTAATAGAATTAAATGTTCTTAGTTTTAACTATATACATACTTATCAATTTACTGTGACAGAAAAACTCAGATAAGGCTTCAGAGAGTATTTTATTAGAGCCTTGAATCAGAAAGCAAAAAGGAAGGATGTTCCCTGGAAAGGAAACAGCATATGCAGACACATCTAGCCATGTGACAATATGGCTTATTTGGCGAGTAGCTTTTTTTTGTAGCTTGAGCAGAATGTGCTTGTGGGAAAATTGCTGGGGGTGAGCCCAGAACAGGGGGCAGGAGCAAGCATGTAAGTCATGTGCAAAATACTGGCCTGCAGCCTGTCGACAGTGGGTTGGAACGCCCCATGGAGATGTCCATTTCTGCAGATAACTAGCGTCCATATGGAAGGAGGTGGGGGTTGGTTGGCAGGAAACTTGGGTGGAAGGAAGAGCAGCGGGGAGGCTGGGAGAGACCATGAGGGCAGTACAAAGATGGTTGCCCTGGAGAAAAGGGGAGGAGACAGAGAACATATTGGGAGACAGAATTGGCAGAACATGCTGACTGATTTGATGTGGCAGGCAAAGATGAGGTAAGATCAAGAACCATTTGAGGGTGGGTGACTGGATGGATGGAAGTGCCATTATCTGAAATGATGTGTGCCAAAGAAGGGGCAATTCTTAAAGATGATGAGTTCTGATTTGGGCATGTTGAGTTCAAGGTAATTTTTTTAAACTTTCAAAGAAACATGTCCATCTAACAGCTGACTATATGGGCCCAGAGCTGAGGACATTCTGATTTAAGAAACATCGATACTATCAAGAGACCCTTGAAAGTTTGGGACTCAAATTCATATCATACATATCTACTTTTAAAAATAACTTCCCTTTTCTATTATACCCTGCTAAAGTAGCAGCAATATTAAATATGCACATATATTACTTGGGCTGAAGGATATTAAGCACTTGCTTGTTCATCACTCATTCACTGCTGAGACCAGTGGGCCTTAAAGTTTGCATCCCTGCTCTGGCCTGTGTGGATCAGTTGGTTGAGCATCCTCCCATGCAATCAGGGGTCACCAGTTCAATTCCCTGTCAGGGCACATTCCAGGGTTGCCCTCTCCGCAATGGATGTTTCTCTCTCTCTTTCTTCCTCTCCCTTTCTCTCTCTCTAAAAAAATCAATAAAAAAATATTTTAAAAAAAGTTTGCATCTCCTCATGCTGGTCCTAAGAGAGGCTTGTGGTGGCAGAGGAGCCACAGGAGAATCAGAGCCAGGGTATAAGACTTATTACTTCTCTACAATTTTGTTTGGCGCTGCTGCTGCCAGTAGTGAAAGTGTCAAAGGTACACACAGTACTACCCTCCCTCCCCCCCAAAAAGTCACCTAGTGATTGCCATGTTTTTGTGTTTTGTTTGCAGAGACTGTGAATACAACAGTGTCATTCTCCTTCAGGGGCATACGATTCTCTAAGGTATTGTCCAAGAGTCATTTTGTACTTTCTTAACCATTGGCAGTAACAGAATTTGAATAAGCAATTTGTAGCTTCTAAAAACCGATATTCAAGATTTTTTTTCTACTTTTATTTGGTTTTGGGTATTTTTGCGATTTCTTCTTTCTGAAGAATATGGAAACATAAAAAAGTTACACGAAAGAAAGCTCTTTTTCACTTCATGTTTTTCCTCTGACCTCCATGGCTAAAAGTAATCAAGCGCTCATTATTAATATGTTGCATGATTTTTGGTTGAAAACATTGTCCGACCGCTGTCTAGAATGCCATAGCCACCTTCATGAATGATAACCATGTGATTTTAGGTGTTTGCTTTAGATACCTAGCAATGAAATTTTGTATGTTTCACTTTTGGTGACTATTTAAAAGTAAACTTTTACTGATTTTGTTCACAAATGATATCTAATGTTTGAAAATCTCGTAGGCTAGTCTCAAAAAGTAGTTTAAAAACATCCTCTCATAATTGGGAAATAAACGTTTGCTGAATTCAGACATGCAAAATTTCGTCTCATGAGAAAACTGAGAAAATGATAACCAATGCAATTTAAATGGTTTCCTCCTACTAAGAAAAAATTCTGATAAAAGTCTTACAAAATAGAAGCACCTAACATTTTATGTTACTTGTGTTTCTTATTCTCATTTTAGGGACGGTACCAATGTGTTGTGGAAGCCATCACTGGGAATACTGGAGAAATGCTCTTCTGTTTGAATTTTACCATCATACACTACTCTGGTTTCAATTAGAATAAATCGAGTATATTTTTATTTTTCAAAGGTTTTACTCTTCACTTAATTCCCTTCATTCCCTTAATTCCTCCCCTCCCAATGTATTAGTTTGGCAGAGCCACCAAAACAAATAACACTTATGGTTTAGTGGTTCATGTGGCCACGCCGCGTTGTAAGGGAGGCTGGGAAAAGCAGCCTTAGTGAACCTGGAGGCCTGTTACTATAGATGGAGTGAGTGGATATAGGGGCCCTAGTGGTCTCTGGCAGAACACCAAACCCGATTACAGCGGTACATTAATTAGGGAGATTATTTGATTGGTATCTATCTACCACATTACACTGTGATCTCTACAAGATCAGGGATCCTATCTGGTTTGGCTCACCATTGTATTCTCATCTTCTATCCCAGTGCCTGGTACATAGTAGGACCTCAATACAAGGGTGGGCAAAGGTAGGTTAATAATAATAAATACAGTAATAAATAAATAAATGAATGAATGAATAAATAAATAAATAAATAAAACAAGAATAAACTGTGTTTCATGTCCTCACAACTGTAAACCTGCTTTTGCCAGCTCCTGTATATGTTTGTTGAATGAATGAATGAATATATTTGGTCTCTATTTTCCCCATCTCACACTTGACACTCTAGCTAGACCAAATCACGTGTGTTTGCCTGGTAAAGTATTCATTAATTATTAAACAAAAAGGTCTTAGGTAATCTGGTATGCAAAAACAGTCATCACACTGTTTAAATTTCTTTGATGATTTTTCAGGTTATACATATTTTCACATATTTCCATTTATATTTCTTGTTCTGAGATTTGACGTGACCAGTTCTAGCAACATCCCTTGAGGTGCACTAACTGCTTAACACGGTAGGTTTCAGTTGATGCAGTAGATCCAAGTCAGGCAGCACACTTAGGGCCTTGCTTGGTGAGCAGAAGAATGGAGAGTGATGCTTGAATGAGGGCATTCCTGCATTTACCTGAGTGCAGTGTCTCATACCTGAGCTTGCCACAGGAGTTGGGAATAAAGAGCTAAAGGTCACATTCTCTGTAGAATCTGGAGGGCTGGTGTGACATTGTGATTTATAATAAGAAATATATATTTAGTCTTCACCCCCCTTTCTGGCACAGAGCTCCTAAAACCCTTGGAATTTCTTAAGTGAAAAGAGCTATAACGATGTTTTGATTCTCATAATAAACTCCTTTCAACAACACTTGAGTTTATGTTCATGAGCTGGTTTTTGGAAAACCCCTGGGATGAGAGCTGGCTGCCAGGCAAATCGGCCAAGCGGTTAGATTGGAACTTTGAGCCCCACTGCCTCCCCTCTGAGTAAGGGAAAGGGACTGGAGGTTGAATTGATCACTGAAGGCCAATGATTTCATCAATCATGCCTATATAATGAAGCCTCCATGAAACCCCAAAAGGACTGGGTCTGGAGAGTTCCCAGGGTGGTAGACCAGCATCTATCCACATGCCAGACCCCTAACTCCACTGGGACAGAAGCTCCTTTGTTTGTCCCGTCTGGTGTATCTCTTCATCTGGCTGTTGATTTGTATCCTTTAATATCCTTTGTAATAAACTGGTCATGTAGTAAGAAAACTGGTTTCCTGAGTTCTGTGAGCCCCCCTAACAAATAAATAGAACCCAAGGAAGGGGTCACGGGAACTTCTGATTTCTAGGCAATGGGTCAGAAGCACAGGCCAGAAGTACCTGTCATTGCAATTGGCAACTGAAGTGGTGCAGTCTTAGGGACTGAGCCCTTAATCTGTGGAATCTGATGCTATCTCTAGGTAGATAGTGTCAGAATGGAGTTCAGTTTGTGGGCACTGGGTCCATGTCCTCGGAGAATTGCGTTAATTGCTTGGTGGTATAGAAAAACATATCATAGATGGTATTTTAAATTTCTATTTACAGAAATATCTAAGAGTTTTAGCAGTCAATAAAATTAATGTTGCAGTGATAAATGAATCAGTTTACTGAAGATGGTGTTAATGATGGCCAACCCACCCATAATCACCCAGTCACACCAACCAGCACCAGGTACAGATGTTTTGCTTATCATATATTAAGTGATAATAACATAAAAATATAAAATATATTTAATAAGGACACAATGAATGAAGCTATATGAAAAAATTAAAATATAATGTGAGGGTGGTGGGATTTAGATATTATACTATTTTTAACATTTTAAAAAATACTATTATCGTATTATTGCTAATGAAGCTAAACCATATTACCATTACTTTCACCAAACCATAACCACCCGAAACAATTCCATTAGCAATGCCCTTTTAAAAATATATACGACCTATAAGATATTATTGGTAAGAGAGAAAAGAAGAGAGGACTGTTTTAACTATAAGCAAGTATGTGGCCAATGTGCGGAAGACACGTCTTCCTGTATAAGACTCAAATATAATTCTGAAAGCCAAGAGAGGAAGCAATAATTCAAGTGAAAGGAAGTGAAGAGCTTCTATTTCCTTAGCATTCATGAGCAGGCCTGATATGGACATTAGTGCTAATGAGAACAGCATGCTTCAGACGGAAGGTGCAGAGATCTGTGCGGAGATAACCAAGGATCAGCACAAACGCAGCGACTGGGACTCAGTGCTTTTGCTCTGGTGTAAGGGGTATGACAAGGAGTAGCCTGCTGATAAATTGTCCAGTGGCTGCTCAGAAATGCATTTGACGGTAGATGCCCCAATGCGCACGTATTTCCTATTCATCGCCTAGCATAGGAAGCTTCTTTCTCTCAATGCCAAAGTCCTTAGCAGGGTTTAATTAGACTCGCTTCTCAATTCAGATTACTACGTTTTCAAGTTCAAGTACTGTCTGAGTAAAGTTTACTGGTACAGCTATTTAGGGAGGGTGAACGCGCCAAAAAGAAAAAGGAAATACTTGGTAATATGGTTGGTGAGATGAGATTATTGTTGGGAGTGGTGGGGCTGGCAGATAACAGGGGCTAAGAGAAAAAAAGAGAAGTGTGACACAACTGCCTCCATTACAATCTCAGTTAAGGAGCTGGTGGCAGCCCTGGGTAAAGAGATGTACCTGAAGGCCTATCCTTTAGTGTCAGTTTAGCCCGGCTTGCCCTGACCAGACTGACCTGTTTCTGACACTTTCCCAGTCTGATGGGAACCCTCTTCTCTGGTAGCAGAAGTTAGCAGGGCTAAAAAGACAAGGGAAGGGAAAAGGCTCGCCGGGAGCTCAGAGCTTCTAGGCAGCGAGTTTGCCTCAAAAGCAGGCACTCCCGGGACAGATTGTAGCAGAAAGCCAAATTAGGGCAGAAGGGGAGGTGGCCAGCAGGCAGTGGAGCATGGTGAACAGAGAGTTTGGTGGTGGCAGGGGTTCTAGGTGTTACTAGATATACAGGTAGTGATGGGAGTGGTGGGAACTTGATTCAGGGGGCGATCCTTACTCCCAGGATATCAATTGCATCAATCAGAGGGGTTGCAAAGTCTGATTCCTAAGGGGCCAGCCAGAGCAGGCTGCGTATAAAATAAGAGGGAGGCATGTGATTATGGTGAATAAAAAGGCATATGCAAATTTAAGTGTACCATATGGGAATACTGGTCCAATGTGGTCAGCTCTTCTGATTTTTCAAGAGAAAGGGTACATTTGGATTTTTACACGCGCACACATGTACACACACAAATTAATCACAAAACGTTGGCAACTGATTTAAAAATTTAAAAGCACCAAGTGGGGGTCATTATTGTACCTGCCAAATGACACTTGTACATTCCACAGCGCCTGAAACTCAACATGTCAAAATGGAACTCAGTCTGTTTTCTCTATTTCAGCAAAAGACTGCCAGGAACTCAGCTAGAAAGCTGGGCATCGGCCCCGACTCCTCCCTCTCCTTTCTGCCTCACATCCAATAGGTGACTTAACCATGTAAATTCAACCTTCTGAAATCTCTGTCTCTTACATTTGGTATCTAATCTACATTTCTATTCTCACTGTCTTTGTTCAGGTTTTCACAGTTCCTTTCCTGGCCTAATCCATTTCTCAGTCTTCAGTGTCACCCATGTCGAATCCTCTAGCAACCTAAAATAAAAATCGAAGCAAGGTATTGCCTTGCTCCCCAAATTCCATTACCAATATGTTTTTTAAAACTTAAGTATAGCTGGAATGCAATATTATATTGGTTTCAGGTGTACAATATAGTGATTCGACATTTATAAACCTTACAATGTGCTCACCTCACTGAGTCTAGTAACCATCTGTCACCTTGCAATTTTATAGACTCCACGCACACATTTAACTCTGTATCCTGACTCCTGATTACATCTTCAGCCTCACCGCTCGTGTGCCTCCCTCCTAGTATGTGCACAGACGCAGACCTGCCCGCAGTTCCTGGAAGTCATGCTGTTTCTGTCCTCTGCACCTTTGTTCTCCTCTTACCTAGAATGAATGGACTTGCCTTGCTGTATCAGAATGTTTTCAGTTCTAGTGATGCAAAATCCTACTTGCACTGGCTTAAGTAATGAAGCAGGTTCATTGACTTACGTAAACAGCAGGGCAGGCTTTAGGGTTGGTCTGATATAGTGGCTCAGTGATGTCACCAAGGACCCAGATTCCTCCTTTTCTGTCTTCTATTGTGTCACCTTCATCCTAAGGCTGACATTACAAGATAGCTGCTGACAACCCCTGGGCTACCTGCCTCCATGTCTACATCCGGGTTGGGTGGTGTGCAGTGGGGAGAGGAGAAGATGGTTTCTAGAAAGTCTCTCAGAAGAGTAAGAAAACCTCTTTTCTAGAATCCTTCAGGGTTGCCCTCAGCCTCATTGGCAGATGTTGGGGTAGAGTAACTATGGCCAGGAAACAGGATTATGAGGTAGCATCTGCCACCTGCTTGGTCCTGAGCGTCAAGGGTAGAGCTGGGTTTTCTGGCAGGAAGGACATGGGCTTCCCTGGGGAGATGTGGATACTCAGTCTGAAATTGCCATGGTTTCCAATAGAGGGCCTTGGATGCTGAGCAGGTGACTGCAGTGTACTCTGTATTTTCTTTTAAATCTTTCCTCTATTT